TACTGGCTCTGAGTTATCACCCTCCCGGGAATAAATGTCTCTTAAAAGTCAAAGTCTTCTGGCGCTGTGTAAAATGCCTTCGGTCTTTTAGTATCATGTTACAGGTATTTGCTATTGTCTCACTGCTGACAGAAGTGAGGACTGAGCATCAAATGCATCCAGATGCCGATATCAGGACCAATAACAAGTTGTCAAAACAGTTTACCCACCACTATTCTACTACCATGCATGATGGAAAGAATGCCTAGTCTCTGAAGCAGGCAAATCCTCTCCCAGCCTCTAGGGTTGGGTTGGGTCACCCCTGCAATCTGACAAAAAGTCTTCATATATATTGCAGTTTCTTAAGAAGTGGGAGTGGGACAGTCTTTCTTTCTACCCATGGCCTCAGTGCCAGATCAGATTTATAACTCATCTTAGACATCAGACCTAAACTGAGCACAGAAGCAGTGAAAGTAACATTTTCCTCAAGTCATCTCTTAAATCATTCTGTCCTAGAAACTTTAGATCCATTTGAAAGACTTGAGTTTAAGAAAACTAAGATTGGCTCTGATTTCCTCTTTTTCCAGCAAGTCACAGGGACCAAACTGACATTTTTAAATCTTTCATGTATTCTGGGTCTGAAACTGATCATGAGGCCTTTAGGTCTGTCCTCTTTATGTCCTTACTGCTGCAATGTTTTAATAAACCTGTGTTGGTTGCAACTCTTCAAAGGTTCAGAAAATATTGATATGCATCCTCTTACAATACTCAAGATGTGACGGGTGACCTTACAGCTGAGTCCAATATTTCTGTGTGAAAGGACATGAGCAAGTTTTGTGAGTTGACTGCGTTTATCCAGCTGTCACTAGAAAGAATCACAGGGATATAGACACCATAACTAAAACATCCCAAGAGATCATGGCATCTGAAGCTATTGAGGATCACGTAAATCATTCGTATTTGTCCTTATTTTAAAAAATAAGCAATTATTGAAATCTAGGGCAGACTTTCTGTGTATCCAGGCTTTAGGG